CTCACCGAAGCGATGGTGAGCAGTGCTCAAACCTAAGGCTAGGGACAAGAAAATGTATTAGTTAGTGTAAGGTAAATGAGAGAATACAGGAGCTTACTGACCTAGGGACAAGAGGTCGAAACTGAGGTCCCTAGGGCAGCAGAGGCCGGCTTATATACATGGGGAGATTAGGGCAGGCTGTGCACGTTGGTCCGTGCGCAGCTGGTCTGTGCGCAGCATGCCGACGCGGCCACGGGGGCCGGTGAGTCAGAGCGGCTGTGTCAGCGGAGCCCGAGCTGTGCCGCGCACTGCCGTCCTATCTAATCTAATCGTACAGTAGATATGATGCGTCCGTATCAGGCAAGTAGTACAGAGGTCGCGGGTTCGAGCCCGCGAAAAGGAAAAATTAAAAACGGCTAGACGCCGTACCAACTCGTGACATTACCCCCCCCTCAACGGCGCATGACCTCATGCGAGGCGCCCTTGCCCATCTCCCACCCGGAGCGGCAGCGTGCTTCAGTCAGCGGCGAAGGCATTGGCTGAAAGTTGAGACCACCAAAGGTAGCAGCGTTGAGGCGGCGAGGGGCGTTCGGATTTTTCCGGTGGAAGTCGGCTACGAGGGTCGGCGCATTGGCAACGTTGCGCGCCGGTTCCCATGACGTATGCGAGTCGTCATAACCCTTCCACTTGACGAGGTACTGCAGCTGACGCCGGAAGATCCTCGAATCTTTGATCCGCTCAACCTCGTACTCCTCGTCGCCCTCAACCTCGATTGCAGGCGGCTCCTCCGGCTCTCGGCCTGGGATATCGCTACGCGTGTACTTGCTGAGCAAGGAGACATGGAATACCGGGTGCACCGGCACCGACTTTGGCAGGACTAATTCATAATCCAGGTCTCCGAGCTTTCGCCGCACGGCATAAGGTCCGAGGCGTTTGGGACTGAGCTTCTTGCTCGGCTGTTTCAGCTTAAGGTTCCGGGCATCAAGCCAGACCTTATCCCCCGGCGCAAAGACCGGTGCCTGCTGCACGTGCTTGTCGTAGTACACCTTCATGCGCTCGGCCGACAGCTCGAGTGCAGAGCGCGTATCGTCGCGAATCTCCTTCAGGATCTTGAGCCGATCAGCGGCCGCAGGCATCGCAGACATCGGATTGATCCGAACCTGGATCTCAGGATTGTACCCTTGATGCAGGTAGAAAGGGGAGTGCCCGGTCGCGGAGTGAACTCGGTTGTTCAGTGCGAATTCCGCGAGCGGCAACTGCTTCGCCCAATCATCCTGCCTGTGGCTTGTGAAAGCGCGCAGGTACTGCTCGATCTCCTGATTCCAGCGCTCAGTCTGGCCATCTGTCTGGGGGTGGAACGCTGTGGACAGCGCCGGTTCGATCCCAAGTCCCTTGTACACCGCATGGAGATACTTCGAAGCGAACTGGGGACCTCGGTCTGATATGACCTTGGCTGGGGCCCCATGATGTTTGAACACATCGCGGATGTACAGGTCTGCCGCACCTTCTGCCGTCAGGGTCTCATGACAGGCTGAGAAGTGGACCTGCTTGGTGAAGCGGTCAGCGGTGACCAGGATCGAGTCGAATCCATCAGACTTCGGCAAGCCGACGATCATATCAGTCGTGATGATCTGCCACGGGCGCTCGGGGATCTCATTCGGCTTCAGCGGACCCTGGGGCTTGGCTGGGAATGTCTTGGTATGGTTGCACACGTCGCAGGTGCTTACGTACTCATTGACAAACTTGGACATTCCAGGCCACCAGTAGTTCCGCGACACGAGTTCCAGGGTTTTGGCACGACCGCCATGACCGGCGATCGGCGAGTCGTGGTGGATTTTGACAATATCCCGCCGGAGCTCCGCATTCTTTGGGACGTACACGCACCCGCGGAACAGCAGGAGCCCTTGTTCGGCATTCCACTCCTCGAAACCCCTTTGCAGCCGGGGCGGCCCGAGGTCCTGCACCTTTTCAAGGGCCTCGGCCACCTCCCGATCCTTCTCCGAACATTCCCTGATGCGCTTCAGAAGCGACTGATCGGCCGTCACCGAGGCGTGACCGCGCCTAGCAGAGGCGATGCGGAAGCGCTCTGGCTTGAGAACCACCTGATCGGTGTTATCGTCCTCATCGCCGATCTGGTGGTCTGATCGACGCGACAGGGCATCAGCCTTTCCATTGGACGTCCCGGCCTTGTGCGTGATGCGGAAGTCGAAGCGAGCTAGGAACAGCGACCATCGCGCTTGACGGCGCGTGAGGTGCTGGGATGTACGCCAGTACTCGAGGTTCTTATGATCGGTCACGATCTCGAACTGATTGGGTAACCCCTCGAGATAGTGGCGCCAATCGTCTAGCGCCTCAATGATCGCGAGCATCTCCTTATCATAGATCTCGTAGTTCCGCTGCGCCGGATCCATCGCATGGGATCTGAAGGC